ATAAGAATATAACGAAAATAGAAATATTTTTTGATTTACAATTTTTTCGCAACATTTTTTAGTCAGTATATAAAGGAAATACTTTATAAATTGCGCTGGAAACACGAACAGTTTTTAAACTTGTTTTTCAAATGTGTTTGCTAAACTTTACTGTTTTTATCAATGGAAAGGAAAGCGAGAAAACTAATTGCTATTTGTTTGTGAAAAATTTTATTTTCACAAACAAATAGCAATTAGTTTTCAAATTACAAGTTTTTTATTTAAAAACATGAAACGATGCTGCAAAATGTGGGTAGTGCATTTATTTACTGAACTTTCTTAATGAAATTTTTAGGAGCCTATTTGAAACTTTTGTTTAAGTTTTTAAATACATTTTTTTAAACAGAAAAATCCTTATATTCATTACCTCTAGTAACTTGTATTAACATTGGAAATTAGGCAATATAAAAAAAAACAATTTTATACATGCATCGAATGCCGTGGACAAACAAGGAGTGGGACTGCACGCACCTGCACCAAAGGAAAAGTTGAAACTCGGACTGTTGAACGATACGAGTTCAAATCCCGCCACCGCTAACTCAGCGCTTGAGTAGTACTTCGGTACGCAAAAATGTTGGTCAATAGCGGACATTACTTTGGATAAGTCTTAATGACTATTTGTGGCTGTTCCTATGCTAAGCCAACAATATCTTCGGATATAAGAACATTTTATAGAAAAATATAGCATATATATATATATATATATATATATATATATATATATATATATATATATATATATATATATATATATATATATATATATATATATATATATATATATATACATATATATATATATATATATATATATATATATATATATATATATATATATATATTTATATATCTATATATATATATATATTTATATATATATATATATATATATATATATATATATATATATATATATATATATATATATATATATATATTTATATATCTATATATATTTATATATCTATATATATATATATATATATATATATATATATATATATATATATATATATATATATATATATATATATATATATATTTATATATCTATATATATTTATATATCTATATATATATATATATATATATATATATATATATATATATATATATATATATATATATATATATATATATTTATATATATATACATATATATATATATTTATATATATATATATATATATATATATATATATATATATATATATATATATATATATATATATATATATATATATATAGAATCAAATGATATCCTCTTCAAACGGTATTTATAAGACACTGGCCATCAGATATTTTTTGCCATTGGAGACTGGAAAAGATACATGCCTACTATTCCTTTCTCTTCTTTCTTTGTTATCTTAAATTGGCTTCTCAGCATCCATATTTTCAATGAATAAACAGCTTTGGCCATCCATCTGGCTCAATGAAGTCTTGCCAGAGCTATTAATGAGCATCCTCAAGATGGAAGGCCTCCCTGAAACATTATTGTCAGCTCTAGTAGCTTGCGATAATCATTCAGAAGCTGAAACTGTTGCAATTGGTTATTAACAAATGCAACAATTTCTGGAAACAGTACTGTCCATGGTATTATTGGAACTTGATGCCTGAAATGTTGACTGGTCAATAAATTCCTAACTGCTTTTAGATCTTTTAAAAATTTTGATGTTTATGATGAACTCTTTGAAAGGCTAAGAGAAAGAGTAACCATTGTTTCTAAGACTATTTCGAAAATATGATGACAACAAGCAAACCAGAGCAAACCTTTGTCAAGCTTCTGTTCTGATAGGATGCAAGCACCATTTTTTAGACCACTATTTAAGGAAGTAGTGTTGAAGCACACACACTTAACTTTATCAGCTATGCCTCAGGCTACAGTTGCATCATAGACAGCTGTCGCTGCTGCTTCTCCAGTTCCAGATGGCAGCTTTATTTCACAAGAAATTTGATCAACTACTAGTCCAGACATAATGATTGGGACCGGTCCACAACTTCTGTGCTACTAATATCTTAGTAGTACTAACTTTCTGTGCTACTAATTTTCCATCCCAGTGTATTGTTAGTGGAACTGTTGGCTAGAACTCTGCTTTCAAGTTATCTGTGTTTTTTTGTCTAAATTTTGTTCTTTCTCTTTGAATGGGCAACCAATTGATATTTGAATCTGCTGTGTCATAACCAAGGTGCTGCAGTGCATTTTGTGCAGCATTTTTATCACCAACCTTTGCCATATCCACAACTTGTCATTCAGCATTTATTGTGTGCCACATTTACGTTTAGTTCTCTTTAAAGTTGTGCTTGATGATGGTTCACCAAATGCCTTATTACCATTACAAGACTTTCTAAGCCATCCTTTCATTCTTCTTTCTTTATCAGTAGACCTTAAGAGCACTTTGCTTTATTTCCTTTTTTTTCTATTCATGGAACATATATTTAACTTTTTTAACAATAAGTTTATTTAATTGTGTTGAAATCAAGCTTTAGCCCTCACTTTAAGAATGTTATTAGTTGTTAAATGTGATACAAACAGTCTTTTGCCTCTTCGTAATAGAAAAATAGTGTCATTACTTCCAAAATATTGATTTAAAATTTGCAGTTAATTTTCCGTTTAAATTAATTATAATTATAATTTTATAAACAAACTTGAAAATAAACATGCTGGTCAGAAAAGAGAAGGACAGTTAGGCACAGAGTATTTGAAATATTTTAACTTTTACTAAATAGCAATTTTCAGTCGTTGATTGCAATGATTCAAAATATTTCTGCAATAACTTGAGCTATTTTTGGATTGCATTTGTATTGGTTTTCTTTGATTAATGAATTTTATAAAACATTAACTCACTTCTTTAATGGTTATTATATATAGATTTCAACAGCATTTATATATATATATATATTTTGTCTTACTTTGTAAACTTTATATCTGATTATTTTATATTTCTTATTTTGAATCGATGATAACTATAAAAGTTTTTAGAGCACAAAAGAACAACTGGTATAAAAGAATGTGACTTTGGGGTCACCCATAAATTGTCATGCTCTGAGGGGGGAGGTGGTTAGTAGTTTTCTGGCAACTCATACGAGACTTTTTTTTACAAAACGAATTTTTGATAGGAGGGGGAGGGGGGGATCAAAAGGAGTTGAAATTGCTTGATGTAAATTATGGACAACCATTTACGAAAATACCATATCAAGGTGTAAACTAGCTATGTGGGGCCTCATCAAATGAGGTACTACCAAATGCTCAAAAAATGCCAATTCCAATTAAAGATGAAAAAATCCCATTCTCCAAATAAAGTTTTACAAATTAAAGTTTAATAATAATTCTAAAAGTTATTGAAAACTAATTATTTTCAAAAACTAATAGAAAAATAGCATAAAAAACTCTAATTTATTAATTATGCAAAACTTGAAATAAAAACGACGTTATTGTAACAATTACGCATTGCACAAGTCTATTGGAAAAAAGTTCTTGAGAATTGGGATTTTCCCAGCAATTTTAGGGATTTTCTTGGCAACTTGCTTATAAAATTCATTTTTCAAAATTTGCAAGTAATTTTTTGCAATGCGTTCCAACAACAGTAAATATTACACAAAATAGTTAGCAAGAAATAATGCAAATTTAAAGAAATGTAAATGCAAATTTAAACGTTTAAATGAACTATAGTTATAATAACATTATATGTCTATTAATGATAAAATAATTTTTGGTGTTCTTCAATGCCACGATGCTATAGTTTTTGTAATTAAATAATATTAGTTGTAGTTTTTGCTGAGATTTTGTAATTATAACTTTATTTTGTTATGCAATTTGTGTCCAAAGAAAATTAATATTAATTATAAAAATCAACTCCCAGTAAATGTGAAATATGAAATATAAATATTATGAGCTTGTGTTTACTATTTTCAAACCTTTTCTATTTTTCTATTTTTGAAACATTTCTTTTGAGGACACAATTTACTACATGATGGTGTAAGGGTTTGTCAATAAAAGATATCAAGCAGAATTTAAATAATTAAGTAGGAGATCATTTGCTCTTTTCTGCAGAGATTTTCATTGAACATAAATTGCAATATTACTTTCATAAAAAAATTTATGATTTTCAGAAGAGATCAATTGCGAAAAGTTATTGAAGAAAATGTAAAGATTATTATGATAACAATTGGCTGAATATATTTGAGTTTTATGATATTTAAACTTCACAAATCACTGTAAACATTAAGATAAACATCACTGGTATAATTTAGGCCATCACAGATAAGAAATCATACTCAAGTTCAATTGTCTGTTCTAAACAACCAAAAAATTATGACTAATTATTATTGAAATATAAGTCTCTGAAGTCTAGCTTCTGAGGGAAGTTCTGCATTGCTTTACTTATTAAGCACTTTTGATCTCATCTGCCTAAAAGATAAAGTGTTCTAAAACTTTAGCACCTTGAAAAATTAAAAATCTACAAATTATTTCAGACCTTAAGTTTTATTATATATTTATATCTTTATTATATATTATTTGTAAACTATATAGAGATAATAATTACTAAATTAAATAAAAATAACTATTATAAACTAATCATTATTAAATTAACCTAATTTCATAAACAATTTAAAACATCACAATTTATGTGTTAATTGCTCTGAATAATTTTACACATATGTACATATATGGGTAAACTCAACATAAATAAATACACAAATACATTGACGTCAATAAATAAGCAAAAAATAAATAACACTAATTACTTTAAAAGAATCTTAAAAAATAATGTATAAAAAAATAATTTAATATAAAAACATTATTTAAAGTAAAAATAAAAATTTTGAACAAAGGTTTGAAACATTAAAATGTTAAGTAGCAAATGTTCTATTAGTTAAAATGGGGAAGTAAAACAAAAAATTCTCGAATGAAATTCTATTACATCAAAAACATTATATATAAGAACAGTATTTTTACTGACCTTTTTCAAGGACGTAACGATCATATTTCTCCATTTGGAGGTATCTAACTTATCTTTATCGTGCATTTGGAGATCAACCTTAACATAAAAAAAAAATAGTGTTTTGAATTTTAACAAAATTCTATCTTAACTTTTTAAAATCATTTTTTTTTTGTACTTGTGTACTTTTTAAAAGTACACAAGCTCTACTACTAATTCATACAAGGAACAACTTCAAAGGTTACCTTCTAAAGTTAGGATTAAATGCCTATAATTATTTACAGGCAAATAATCCTAATACCGACAACTTTAGGGTACGATGTCACTTGCTTTAACTTAAATTAATCTAATATTGATAAAAACCTAAAATCAAATATTGATAAAAACATAACGCAAATACGCAAAGTTGCGTGAACATATAGAGCTAAATATAACTAATTTTTTTTTTTTTAATTTTTTTTTGTACTAGAAATGGTAATTGCGTAGTTTATGTAAGAGATTAATAATTATATTATTATATAATACTATATATAATACCTAAGCCGATATTGACCCGTTTACAGAAACAACAATAAAGTTGTATATTATAAGTAACGAAAAACGTTATCGTTACGAAGAAAATCATACAAAACAACGAAAGGTTTTTTGATATTCATGAAAAAATTTTTAAACCGAGCAAAATATAAAATCTTAAAACGTAACTTCCAAAAACAAATAGAGCGTCATACGTTGTATGACGTTTTATTTGTTTGTGAAAGTATGAAGATACAAGTTAAAGTATCTGTGGTTTACTTATGGAGCTTGGCTATTTTAAACTACGGACGTTTAATTTTTAACATAAAAATGTATATCGAATTTCATCATCTCAAGTCCATAACTGGGGTAAAAATGAATTTTTTTGAGCTCAGAAACAGTTTTAGTTATATTAGGATGCTAAAATAGGAACTACACAGTGTTTAGTTAAGGTGCGGAATTGGGTTGAGCTGTGTGAAATGGGTAAAGAAACTTAATGCATTTAAAAAGTAAATTTATCGCTAAATTACTTTTACCGCATTCAGCCATATTATGAAGCGTCATATTGACCATATCTGCAAGCTCTAGCCTCAGATGGATTGGTTGCAATTGTAATAATTTATCGGTAAATACATCAAGTTACTCTTTATCGAACTCAACCCTAACGCAGAAGGCAAATCTTACTTCAAGAACATAAATACGACTTTAAATCTTAATTTAAGAGCAAACTTAGAAAGTTAAATTATTTAAATATTTTTAAAAAAGAAGATTGAAGCAAAAAAATTACCGACATAGTTCCATTAAAAAAATAAAATTAAACATGGTTTGGCTCGGGAAATCTACATAATCATATATGGGCTATATAATCAAGAATCGGATTTTGTCGTATGAAAATTGTAAGGAAAACTTTTTTACCGCTAATAATTTTATTTTATTAACATTATTTATTTAACATCTAAAATATTAAGCTCTTAAAATGTTTACTCATTTAGAACTATTAACATTAAAACCTGTCTACATTTAACAAAATTTTTACTGTTATCTCCGATCTAAACTTAATCGCCACCTCTTTTGTAACATGCTCAAAAATTTAATATTTAATTCCATTGAATGATGGAATAACTTTTCAATTTAAATTAACTAATTTTGATGTCTTTTTAACTATTTTTAGATAGATACTCACTTTACATATTCTGAGCATATTTTTTCCCTTTTTTTATTGTTATTAATATTGTCTTTTTTTAATTGATACTTGTTAGACTATTATTATTTTTGTTATTGCTATAATTATTTGTTTGATATTATTAGGGAGAATAGGGCACCATGAAACATTACAATTGTGTAGGCATTTTAAGAGCTGTGACTACCACTTTCTAATGGTGAAACAGTTAATACATAGTAACACTATGTTTTGACAAAAAAAATTACATCATTTATTATCATAAGATCTGTGAGGAGTCGAATTTTGTGGGTTATATTTATGACAAAGTAATTTATTAGATTTTAAAGTTGCAAAGTTTGAAAGTACGTTATCCAATGTGTAAATTATGTACAACTTCGATACAAAGCAAATATTTATTGACGCTTAAGAATGACATTTGCGTCATGACGTGACGATATATTATCTGGATTTCTGAAATGGGATTTAGACCATTGGATGTATTATTTTAGTTATAAATTGTTTGGCTTCCAAGTAAAAATCTGCCTTTTTCCTAAGTTTTGTAGTTTTTATTTACTTTTTTAATGATGCTCATTGTTTTTAATTAAAAATTTGTACCATATTCATGGGGTACCTTGATACAAATTTCTAATTTTACTTTGAATAGTCTCACAAGTTTAACTAGTTATATTATGGTTATTGATAAATTTAATTTTGTAGGTATAAATTTATTCTACAAATTAAACTGATTGCTTAAAAAACAAATACCAAAAGTGTATTATGGTAAATTTAGGTATTTAGTTTTTATTTGTACTTGTATTATATCTAAAAATCTTTGAAGTGTTACAAATTATTTAAGAACAAAAAAAAAATTTGACTTAATTTTAAAGCAATGAATAAAACAACTTTATGTCAATAAACCAAAACGCACAAGTATTCCTTCTCCTAACGGAAACATTTGCAATGAATTCAGTTTATAGAAATTGGATTCTGAACACTTCTGAACATTTGCAATGAATTCAGTTTATAGAAATTGGATTCTGAGTTTTTTGAAGAGCAAGAACATTAATTTTATCATTAAACTTTTGAGAAATAAACAACCTTCTATATGATACAATATATTTAAATAATAAATAAGAACACTCTAAAAAATAATAAATCAATACAAACAATTTTTCTAAAGAAATAAGCAGGATAGACAAAACCAAATTTAAAACTTGAACTACAATTTTTCTTTTTTTGACTAATACGCTGTCTGTAAGTATCGAGACTATTTATCAACCGGACAATAACTCATTATGCTCCTCTGGTAAAGATAATTGTACAGAATTATTTGGTTGATGAATCATTTCCTGGCGTGTAATATTTGTTTTTGCATCGTTTAGTGTAAACGTTTGAGCTTCATTTAATGTACAGTTCTGTGAAGAAAAACTATGATTGAAGCGTAAAAAGTTATGACGAAAATTACTCAATGACTGTTGAGATCCTCTTGGAGTAGCACAACGAGACATACTTAGATCACAACTACCAAGTAATTTTATAATTTCAACGTCGCTTGGTCCTTGTAAAGTTGCTGTTTCTAAAATAACCAATTCTTGATAAATTCTACATTAAAAAATATTTTTTAAATGCATAAAAATTAATGAAAGTAGTTTGGTAACCCAAATAAGTAGGTCACACCTACCCAAATATGATGAACATCGGTTTATCAAAAAACATAGATAAATAAACCCAAATAAGTAGGCCTCACCTACCCAAATGAAAGGAAAATCGGTTTTTCAAAAAAAAAAAAAACTGGAACGGGAACTGCAACTAGACGAATAAGATATCTTCATCGTCCAGTTGCAGTATGGCAAATTTATATAAAACATGTATAGGAAGACTCCCTGTGCATTGTTGCCGAAAATTTCTAAATAATTTATAACGATGAATCAAGGAAATTAAATAAAAAAAATTCAGGTATAGTATTAAGTATTCTTTTCATCTTTCAAAAGTATATGCAAAATAGTTTATATTTCATAGTCACTCTCAAAAAAATGATATTTTTAAAATACTACATAAAATAATAATAAAATTAATAATATATACATCATAAAAATATTTAGACCACCTATTACCATCAATTAATTTAATTATTATTAAATACATCATTGTTTATTTTAATAATTCTTCAAACTATAGTTTAATATATATATATATATATATATATATATATATATATATATATATATATATATATATATATATATATATATATATATATATATATATATATATATATATATATATAAACTAACCAGGTGACTTGGTAAATTTATCAAGTGCTGTGGAGACATCCCACATCTAAAAGAAAAAACTTTTAGGATTTATCTTAATATTTTTTAAAGATACATAACTAATTTAGTTAACTAAAGTTAGATTTAAAATAAAAAGAATAAGGTTTCTTTTTTAATAAAAATAGGATTTAAGAAAAAAAGAATTATTCATGCTTTTTTTAAAAAAACTTCTAGAATTTTTTATTGACTGGAAAAATTATATTTTGAAGAGGTAATAAGATCAGAATCATGCTATAAAAATGCTAGAACTTCATTTGGTAACGAAGATTTTCCAAAGTCTCTAAACTTTGACTTCTGAGATGAAAAAACAATTAGCTATCTAAGAATATTGACTTTTGAGATAAAAACATGATATAGAAATCAAAGATTAAGGAATCTTAGCATTGAACAAAACCTTTCACCATTAGTTTCTTAAAATAACATATGTTCTCAGAAGAGTTGTTCTGATGATAAAGATGAAAGAAATGATTACAATTAATTGAGTTTTGACACACACACACAAATGTTCTGTCTGAATTCAGGAGATTATGTATTAGACGCAATTTTAATTAAAAAGGCAAATGATATTAGACCAAGGACCATCACAACAAAAACAATGAAAGAAATCTTTATCTACCTTAATAGTTGTAAAAAATATAATAACAGGGTGAACCTGATGTAAAAACTTTAGTGAGATTGTACCATACTCTGAACCACCAAAAGAATGAAGAAAAACCAAGTACAAGGTGAGAAACGAGACACAAATTAAGGACAATTTGGATTTTCTAGAAAAACCATTTTTAAGTCAACTATCTGAGTAAAGTTTGAGAAAGTCAATATCTTTAAGCTTTAGAGCAAGCAGAGTCAGTTGTCATCCCAAGTCTTGTCAGAGTCAGTGGTCATCCCAAGTCATTCAGTGTTATGAGTATTAAAGCATTAATAACAAATAGATATACACAAACAAAGCATGGTAAATTTAATCATAAAATTTAATCAAAGCATGGTAAATTTAATCGCTTTTAATTCTAAAAGCAATCTTTTTAAAGCAATTTATGACAAATATGTTTACAGAAATAAAAACTTTAACATAAATTTGTCAAATTCGACCTTTTAACTGTGGCAATATTAAAATTTTTTTTTTTAATTGTAAAATTATGAAAACAAACAGTTTTGTAATTGAAACTTGAAGCTAATATACATTACTTTTTTTATGAATTGCTATAAAATTTATAATAATGAAACAAAATAATCTTCAGACTCAAAAAATATTTTAAACTTAAAAAAAAAAATTATTCATGTTAAAATAGCTGTTTTTTTATGACTAAGTTTTCTGTATGTAGCATGTTTTTTGCTTTAATATTTTGATTGTAAAAAGTTACGACATTACTAAGTTATTGTAATTATAACCTGAATAGCTCCATTTCCATGGCCAGTAAACAAAAACCTTCGAGGTCTTGAACCCATCCTTGTTGCAGCATCACATTCATGCACAAAAAATGATGTTATATGTGATCCATCAACACTCTTGCATGTCATTATGCTGAAAAAATATATAAAAATTAAAAATGATGTTGCATGCAATCCATCAACACTTTAGTACGTCATTAAGCTAAAAAAAAAAAAAAAAAAGTAGATAAATAGATATTCATAGCAATAAAATAGACAAAACAAAACCAAGTTGTAAAAAGTTTTGAAATAAATAACTTTGTTTAATCTGTATTTTCTTACATTTTATATTGAAAGTAATTTTTAAATTACATTAAAAACCATATTTTAGTGTAGGGTAAAATTCTTACGTTCTACCAGAAGCAGCAGTTCTAACAAATATTTGGTCAGTATCTGGAACAACTTTTTGAACAAATAACAATTGCTCATCTTTATCTCCATATGGACCTATTTATGTCACATACGTTTATATATACATATATATATATATATATATATATATATATATATATATATATATATATATATATATATATATATATATATATATATATATATATATATATATATATATATGTATATATGTATATATATGTATATATATGTATGTATATATATATATATATATATATATATATATATATATATATATATATATATATATATATATATATATACAGATATATATACACACATATATATACACAAATATATATACATATATATGTATTTATGTATGCATGCATGCATGTATGTATGTATGTATGTATGTATGTATGTATGTATGTATGTATGTATGTATGTATGTATGTATGTATGTATGTATGTATGTATGCATACATATGCAGATCTCAGAATTAGTAAAAATAAGGTTGGCAAAAAATTGCCAACCTTATTTTTACTAATTTTGCTCTTGTCATATTTTTTTCTATTTAAAACCTAGGGTGTTACTATAGTTACAGGTAGGCCATTATGATTAAAAAGAACCACTCAAATTAATAAACTACTTTTTCAACTATTCTTTTCTTTCCCTTAACTGTTGTCATAGTTAATAAACTATTTTTTAACTATTTGTTTCTTTCCTTTAATACCCTCTCTTAATCCAAAGTCGCTGTCTAAAGAAACATGTTGAGTCCAGTACCTACTGGACTCAACATGTTTCTTGAACATGGTGGGTATCTTAGACTTTCGATAAAGTCTGTCATCCTGATCTCCTCCATATGCTCTCTTCATATGATTTATTAGCAAAGTTTTTAAAATTTTCGAATCTACTAATTGCAGTATAAAAGTCATCTCTGAAAACAACACAAAATGTTGTTTATCAGGAAACAACAATAAAAAGTCCTGATAAATCATTGTTCTTTATATTCAGTAACTCCTGGGATACCTCAAGATCTCTAGGTACATATAATTTCTCATCTGAATTAATGATCTTCCTGACAACTTGCTAATGATACAACTATATAATATATAACAGTCATAACTTAATAACAAATTATATAACATAAAGAGATCACATTTAACATGGGCCATCATGAATGTGAACCTTCTTTGTAAATGCTTGTGGTTTGTAGCAGCTGTTGAAATTTAGGCAAAATAAAACTTTTCTGCTCATAATTATTGTAATAATGGTGACATTTAATGAATTTTAATAAATATTTCATTTTACATCCTTTTACATGGAACCCAATCAATCAATCAATGAAGATGTCATCACAGTTAAATTTGAACGCGCACAAAGTTATCGGAACTGCGAAGAGGTCTATTAAAAATATACTCCAGATTCCAATCTCTAGATTTACAAATCTTTTTTTTAATCTTTTTTTTAAATACCACTATTGTATTTTATCTGTTCTTGTATGAAATACCACTATTGTATTTTATCTGTTCTTTTATGAAATACGAACATTGCATTTTATCTGTTCTTGTATGAAATACCAATATTGTATTTTATCTGTTCTTGTATGAAATACCACCATTGTATTTTTTTATTTGGGACAAACGTCATTTACTACTTTCATTTTTATTATCAACCATTTTTTTTCATTTTAACTATTTTTTTTATATTCTAGTAACTTTCAAAAGAAATAATTTTAAAGCTAAAGTCTACCCATCTTCTTTTCAGCTTTCAGACATTATTTTTTAAATGATGAGACATATTAGTATCAATAGAAATATCAATCGCAGGTATCTAATAAAAAAAAACATACCTATACAGTTTCCACATTTATAGCTAGGATGAGGATGACCTTGCTCTAAAGCAATTATATTAAAAGAAGAAAGAGATTTAGGTCCAGGTTGAGTGGAAATCATACCACGAAATCGAGTAACACTCCATGTTCGAACATGATTATACTCAGAACAAACTAAAATAAAAATTACCTATTAAAAAATTCTATAATAAATTAAAAAAAAAAAAAAAAAATTTTTTACCTGAAATTAGATGCTTTTCACTTAATATAACACGTTTTACACTGCTTCTATGTACTGTAAATGTCTGAAAAAGCTGTGGACCACTATTTATTGTCTCAGGATGATGAACAATAACTCTTACTGTACCAGAACTTGTCCCATATGCTATTTCAATCCAATTTCCAGCAAATGCTAAAATTAAAACCAAGAATTAGAAAAAAAACCAAACTATTACAAATGATTTACCAAATTATTACTTTTGCATTGCTTTTTATTATTATTGAATTAATATTTTGTTGTTAAATAAATTGTATTTATATTTAATGTAGTTGATAATAAAATATCAGCTACATTAAATCAAATCAATGTAACTTAATGTTAAAAAAATAATAATTCACAAACTTGCTCTAGGTGTGAGATAAACAGACATTGCTGTAATGGAATCACCATTTGGGTCTTTAAACAACTCGGTGACTAGTAAATCGTTATCTTTCATTCTAAGTGGAAATTTTTCCATATCTAAAAAGATGTTTAACAAGACAAAACCTGAGTATAAAAATTTGAAAAATTTTATGCATCAAATTTTTATGACAAAATATTTTTATTACAAATATTTATAAACATTAAACCTAAAATTAAAGTATGTACCAAAAGCAGGGAGGATGATTTCTTCATTTAATACTGCTGATTAGTTTTGTGATTAGTTTACTGTTATATATATATATATATATATATATATATATATATATATATATATATATATATATATATATATATATATATATATATATATATATATATATATATATATATATATACATATATATATATATATAACCTATTTTTTTGAAAAAATAAGTAATTTAAGGAACTTTAGCTCCTTAGGTACAGCTGAAGACTTATAAAAAAACAACCATATAAAAATCCTGAATTTTATAAGTCCTTTTTTTTGCTAGTATATACTAAAATACTAATTCGAGTTCAATCCCCACTACGTTCCTGATAGCACCGCGCTTAACTTGTTTCTCCGCACAGTGGCCTCGTTTGCCAAGGTTTGTGTTTGGGAGTTATAGAGTTGAGAGAGGGTTATAACCACAATTAGGTAGCCTAATCGTCTATAATGGCCTTCTTGGCTATAGGGAGGTGAATTAACATTAAAAAAATTAAAAAAAAAACTACATACTAGCTAACTTCTCTTTATTTCAAGTTTGAACTTCAGACAAAAAAAACATTTCATTATTAATATTTGCTAATAATTTACTTATTAACATTTGTTAATAATTTACTTATTAACATTTGTTAATAATTTACTTATTAACATTTGCTAATAATTTACTTATTAACATTTGTTAATAATTTACTTATTAACATTTGTTAATAATTTAATTATTAACATTTGTTAATAATTTACTTATTAACATTTGTTTATAATTTACTTATTAACATTTGTTAATAATGAAATGTTTATAAGTAAAGTTTGACCATAACTTGAAAGTTTGATCAAATTTGAAAGTTTGGCCATAACTTATTTTTTTTTTCCTTGAATTGTATTTAATGACTGATACAAAGTAATAGTAATAATAGAAATAATATACGAGTTTAAAAAGACTTGCCAACATAGTAAATAACTCCATTAGTTCCACCCAATAAAAGAAATGAACCAGCCGTATCATAACTTGAAATTGCAATAACATCTTGAATCTGCCAGATAATAAATAAAAAAATAATACAAATTTTACAGATTTCATTATCAATCTAAAAAGTCATGTTACCCTCCAACTTTGAGTTATGACATTCCACACACCAATTTTTCCAGTAAAACTGATTGCAACCAAATGGCTGCCAAAAAATGATAATGAATCAACAGGGACAGACAAATCAAACATTCCTGAAAATATTAAATTATAAAAATTTTCAAAGAATAAAACACAAGCAAAAAAAATACTCTGAGCAAACAACACTTAGGATCTTTGCAATTTCAACTAAAATTTGCATTTTCAACTAAAATTTAAAATTAATTTCAAAATGATTAAAAAAATTATTAAAATAAATTTAAATGTTTTCTATCTTTTTTACTAAAAAAAACTTGTTTGTAAATGGAAATCTAAATAAACCATATTTTTAACTATACATTTTTATAACTATAACTTGAATGATTTTTTTTTAACCTTATTTAATTGTCAATTATTTGTCATTAAAATTACAGTTATTATTATTATTATTATTATTATTATTATTATTATTATTATTGTATTATATTATATTATTACTACTATCTTTACTATTATCATTACTATTACAAAATTACTTCTAACAATTTTGACTTATAAAAATTAGGGAACATTGAAACATCATAAATATCTTCTCACCAATATGAGTACCAGTGTCACAATTCCATAATCGAATCTTTGAGCCTGAAAACAAAAAAAGTTAACAAGATTAGGGTTAATAAATAAATAAAAATAAATTTTTTTTTTTTTGAAGTAATACTAATTTATTGTAACAGAAAATATTTTCTCAGATAACATATAAGCCACTGCTCTTTTTCAAAAGTTTTGAGTTGAAGTTATTTTTAAATAAGATTTTTTTAAACCACTCTTTTGATATATGGGCTAAATATATCTAATCCATTCTAATAAAAACTTTTTAACAAATACAAAAATATACTAAAAAAAAATTAATTAAAAGAATAAGCCATTTTAACTAACAACACCAAAAAAATTTACCAGAAGAACAAGCAAGCAATTTATTTCCAAGTGTTCCAGGCATTTTTACATTAATTGAAATTTTCTCTAAACAATTTTCTAAATATGGAGTTGTAAATATACACTCCCAACCAATCGAATCTTCTAGTCTACAAAAATAATGATTATAAAACACCCAATCTAAATAAAAAAAGTACAAGAGTTGACAAAAAAAATAATGTCAAAATTAAGTCTAAATAATTATCCATCTTTGTCTAACATCTTCCAAAGGTTTGCCTCTCAGTGCATTAAAAAAACACATTTAAAATAACAACATTCATATGAGTTTACATCACAACTCTCATAGCTTTTTACAACACAACTCTCCTCTTTTTGCCATAGATACCTTTTTTTTAGAAAACATTAGTTTTTGAACACACTAAAAATAATACATTTAAAGATAATAAATAAAAACTGTTAACTTTTGAAGGCATTTCTTCACAAGTTGACGATTTTTATTTATTATCTTTAAATAATAATTTAATTATATTAACTTAACTTAATTTCTTAAATTTTTTAAGGATTGGATTTGAAACATCTCCTTGGATGTTTTATTTAAAACATCTCCTCCTTGGATGTTTAATTTAAAACATCTCCACCTTGGATGTTTTATTAAAATTACTGCTTTTAGGCAATAAAAATAAACTGTTGAAATCACGAAGCTAAAATAATAATTTCTAGTTTTCTGTAGTGGTTTCATGATTACTTTTTAACAAAATAGAACTTGAATTTGGTTGTGCATACATTAATATCCTAGGTGATTTAATTACAACATTTTTCTGATAGTTCACTTTATCACTTCCTCTGCTGCAAGTTATGTGACTGTATGTCCTCTACTTTAGCTTTACAAAAAAGGGATCAGGGTGTATCAACCTTGAACTTTTTATATCACTGCAACACATTCCATAGTAATATGCAAAATTATAATTATAAATATGGTAAAAATGTTACCTAAGAAAGATTTGCAAAAGTCTTTTCCTCCTGTAAATTACAGAGGTTTACAATTTTTCATATTGGTAGATAATAAGCGTTAGAAAGTTTTATTAGCAGCTGTTTTAATGAATTTTGTTGGGTTACTTTACATAAATTTTGTAGTGTAAAAAATCTACATAAGTAAGCTATTGTTATCTAGTAAGCTAGTGTTATTTTACGCTCATTGTACTTATCTTAAAAATATATATTTATAAAAAATTCCAATAAATTTAAATAATTTTTGAAATGCTTGAATGTGAAAACACTAGCATGAGCATATAGAAAAAACAGCAAGCATAAATCATCATAAAAAAGACAAACCGATAACAGCAGACGAAGTGTGTGTATGCAACTGCCAAGACATTGTGGTGACCTCTGATGATTAGCACCTTACGTCTATCTACTTCTACTGATAAAATGTAAATAAAGCAGATAAAAAAAGCAGGTAAATGGTCTATAACAAACTAAATTGATTAAATGTAGATGAACGTAATAAATAAGTATAAATAAAACAACCATAAACAACAAGAATTAACATATATTTTTTTCAATTTTTCTATAAATATATATATATATATATAAATACTCTAAAATATATTTTTCACTTTTTAATATTATATGGTAATATTAAAATGTAAAAATAATATGGTGAAATACTAAAATGTAAAAAATATTTAAAATAAATTTGTTCATTTTAAACTAACAACAAACATTCTTCAAGTAAATTTGTTTTTAAACAATCGGCAAAAATACTTTTTTTTTAATATAATATGATTCCAACTATGAATTTTTAAAAATTCATAGTTGGAATCATATTATATTAGCTTCTTGGTCGCTAAGTACAAAAAAAAAACACATGCAAAAATCCTTTATTATTTTTATAAACTACAATTTTTAAAAACATAAAAAGACCTGATATGCAAAATCATAAAGTTTTGGAATATTTGAGAACCTCATTTGAAGTTACAATATATATATATATATATATATATATATATATATATATATATATATATATATATATATATATATATATATATATATATATATATATATATATATATATATATATATATATATATATATATGAAGACCACACGGGTAAAACCACAGATGTCACATTTTTCTCATTTCGAGAAAAATGAAATTTAGTGTTTAGTGACTTTAGATATCTGTTTATTAATAATTTATTTAATTAAAAGTATATTTTTCTGACATTTTAGTCCTTATACAATATAAAAACGCAGTTTTTGTGCTAAATACAAGTATAATTTATTCACAATGTACTTTTGAAAACAAGACACTCATTTTGGACATCTGTTGTTTTTCCGTTGTAAACTCATCAACTCGTAAATTACGTTAGATTGTAACCTTTTAGAGCACTTATTTTTTTTTAAGGTAGATGGTAACACATTGTAATTTACAACTACAACGTACTAAGTGTGTGATGGGATAATAAAGCCACCGCCCCCTCCCCCTCTTTTAATAAAAAAAATTCGATTCACGTTCACAGAAAAACATTTTAAAAAATCAAAATGTTTTTTTAAATGTTTTTCTGTGAACGTAATGTTGTTTACTTCATCCGAAAAGTTAGTCATGTGACTTACGCTTTTATTATCATTGGTTTAGTTAAAAATAACTTGTTTTTTACGCGGTAAACATTGGACAACAGTGGTTGTTTCAAAGTTGCCCTTTTTTTTAAATGACCATAGAACCTTAAAACATAGTTTTTTTGTTATGAATTTTTAAATTAAAATAGGTTAATACTAAAATATCATAAAAATATATAAAACTTGAAATTTTCAAAAAGTGGACATCTGTGGTTTTACCCGTGTGGTCTTCATATATAATATATATATATATATATATATATATATATATATATATATATATATATATATATATGGGCAATTCCGTGAGAGTGGCCGTCGTAACATTTGACACTATTTAATCTATAAAAAATGAAATGAAGATGGAAATGACTTACAACTTTTTAGAAATCTGAAATACTATAATACAATTTAGTATCTAAAAGTTGCAGCATTAAAGTCTTCGACTTTTTTCAAAAATCAACTCTACGTAGCGTGATGGTGGTAAAGCTTACTTTTTACCATTTCTGAACAATACAACATGTCAGACTTAATGCAGCAAATAGCATGGTAAAAAAAAAATCATCTGGTGTGTGTATTTAGCAAATATTGATGTTATTATATGCTGAGTTTCATAGTTTTTACTTTACGTTTTACAAGCATTTTTATGTGCTTTTGATGTGACGGTCATAACGAAAAATCCAATGCTTAAAAACAAATAAAACAACGCAATCAATGATGTGAGAAAAAAAGTATAAATGATTATTAACAACCATGTATATTATGTTAAAAAAATGCACTATAACATTACCAAAGTTCTCCATTATGGATATACAAAATGATTTTTAATGCTACACAATGGGACAGTAAATAAGCGTCAAAACACGTTTATACAACTTTACAACTTAAAAACCATGATATGGTATGATAAAATGATTTTTTTAAATAATTTTTTTTGCTTAAAAATATTTTTAAATAGTTAAAAAAAAAATGGAGTTTAGTATGTGTTTTCATAACTTTTTTGCTTTTTTTTTTTTTCATCTTTTTTGCAGAATAAATTTTTAAAAAATATAATAACTAAACAGGTTAACTGAAAAATAAAATTAAAAAAATTTCTAACCATCAAACTTAAGATTTGGCTCTGACTTGGCATTTTTCATTACACCTAGCCACTGTTGGTGATTTGATGCGAGACAGTCCATTAGAGAGCTCATCGAGCCTCTACGTGATGACTTGATTTCAAAAGGATTTTCAGTTAAATCTAGTAAAAAATACTATTCCTTTATGTTTGTATTTTAATAATATTAAAACATTAAATGTAAAAATCAATGTTAAATCATTAAATAACCTTAACAGTCTTAAAAGCCTTAAAATAAAAAATAGATTAAAATTTTTATAAGATTCAAATTTTTATAAACCTGGAGGATTAAGATAACCAATAAATAGCAGATCACCACATGAACTATTTTCTAAATCCTCACACAAAGTAAGACGACGAACTGTGAAAGTAAAACAAATTAACAACAAGAAAAAACAATGTAAAAAAAAGTTAAGAATATATATATATAACTTATATTGCATGTTTAGATAATCTGTCTGATGTCATACTGAAATAGCGTGCTGCTGGAGGCTTTAGTACATACATCGGCTGACTAAATAGGTAAAATATGCAAGGAATTCTGCTATATCAATCAAGGGTTTGAGTTGGGGCAGCATTTTTATTTTTAATTATTTTTTGTTTTTTGTTTTTTTTTCTGAAAAAGCCGTATGGAATAAAATAACCAAAGAAGGTTGACAATTATATATCTATATACGCTATAGTAGATATATATATATATATATATATATATATATAAATATATATAAATACACATATATATATATATATATATATATATATATATATATATATATATATATATATATATATATATACATATCAACAACTTTTACCAATAGGAGTAATGCCATAATATTTTGCTTCATGTAACACAACACTAAAGTCAACTCCCCTAAAAAATAAAAAATAAATATATATATATTTAGAACCATATTTACAAGTATATATATATATATATATATATATATATATATATATATATATATATATCTTATACTGCTGATTAAGGTGAGCAGTGTGATATCATACTGAAATAGCCTACTGCCGGGGGCTTCAGTAAATATATTGACTGACAAATAGCCTGACCTGCAGTGGAGTACTGCATACTACATATGTATATATATACATATATATGCATTATATTTACATATATACATATATATGTATATATGTATATGTATACATATTATATATACATATTATGCGGTAGTGGTGTAGTGGTAGAGTGCTCGCTTCATAAACGAGTGGCTCCGAGTTCGATCCCCACCACGTCCCTGGTAGTACCGCGCTCAACTCGTTTCTCCGCGCAGCGGCCTTGTTCGTCAAGGCTCGTGTTTCGAAGTTATAGAGTTGAGAGAGGGTTATAACCACAAACAAGTAGCCTTCTCGTCTGTAGTGGCCTTCTTGGCCTTGAGGAGGTGAATTAAAATTAAAATATATATATATATATATATATATACATACATACATACATACATACATACATACATACATACATACATACATACATACATACATACATATATATATATATATATATATATATATATATATATATATATATATATATATATATATATATGCAGTAGAATCCCATTAAGTCGGACTCTAAAGGGGAATGGATAAACCATCTGGCTTAGTGAATGTCCAAGTTATGCAAAGCTCTCGAAATGTATAGAAAGTTCAAGGGGAATTGAAAACCTGTCTGGCTTTGTAAAAGTCTGATTTATTCAGGGTCCGAGTTAACAGGATTCTACTGTGTATATATGCGGTAGTGGTGTAGTGGTAGAGCGCTCGCTTCATAAACGAGTGGTTCCGAGTTCGATTCCCACTACGTCCCTGGTAGTACCGCCCTCAACTCGTTTCTCCGCGCAGCGGCCTTGTTCGTCAAGGTTCGTGTTTCGGAGTTATAGAGTTGCGAGAGGGTTATAGCCACAAATAAGTAGCCTCCTCGTCTGTAGTGGCCTTCTCGGCCTTGAGGAGGTGAATTAAAATAAAAAAAAATATATATATATATATATATATATATATATTAGGGCTGTCCAAAAAAAATTTTTTTTTCAGATTTGATTGCATAGTTGTTTATTTTGTGCCATTTGACATATTAATTAACTGTGCAAAAAATCTTTCCGATCAGATAATGTTTAGGGGGTGCTCAATGACCATAAAGTTTTACGAAAAATGTGAAAAACATGGAAAAAGTAACAAAGTTCCACAAATTTCTAAAACCCGGTTAATTAGATTTTTCAGATTTGATCAGTTTTAATTATCTCTAAATATTAAATTCTGAATACAAATTACAATCCACATCCACTTTATACTGGTTTATTAGCAGAGAAATTAATGAAATAAAATACTGCAATACGACTAAAGTTCTGCGGTTTTTGTTATATCAGAATTTTTCCAAAATAAAACACTAAGATTTTTGACTCTTTGTCATTGATTAAAATACGAATTATAAACAAAAAAAATTATTGTAAAGGAGTAACAGTTTCTCAAACCGTTATCAACTACTAAGTAGGTCAACTCAAAAACATATGAGTAATTAACATTTAATTATCGTAATGTTATAGTTCATGCAATGTTAATGCTAGCGAGGACTATAACTCTTCAGAGTACACTTTCTGGCATCTGGCACTCGCTTTCTGTGATCCTCAACCACCTGAATTAATCTCTGCATTTCAGATTCATTCCTTGTAATCGATTCATTAAACATCGACATTAAAGCCACAGATCGTTCGGCAGCATCATTTACTACTTTCAATGAATATACTAAATTTTTTCCTTCTTGGTATTCTGGGGAATCATTCCAGGTAGCTGGATCGTTGTTGAACAGAAAATCAATATCAACCTTCATTGACCGCAACGCACTTGCTGAAACTGATGTCACCAGCATGTCCAGAGATTTCTTCTCTAGACTTTCAATGTTCTTTAATTTGATCAACCTTTCAGACCAGTTCTCACCGTGAAATTTCATGTTGGAAATCATTTTTCGCTTCTCTATTATTTCAATGTTTGATCGATGATAGGTTCATTTTCTACGGACTGTAGAACGTGACAATGATCCATCATCGAGGTTCTGTCCACCAGCCCTTGCAATTGCTGCTGCTAGTATAGTAAATTTTGTGTCAGATAGATTAATTCTGTCTAATGTTGATGAAACATCAGGTGAGTCAAGAATTGTATCTAAGATACATTGTCGTTTTGGAGTACTTGCTAAACTTGATTCAGCTGACCCTGAAGAACTTGCTTTACTGACTTGTTGTCTGTAATAAACAGGGATTTCTATCTCAAAATCTCTATCAACCATTTCATCATTATCAACAGCATCGTTATCGTTGTCATCACTATAACTTTCGTCATGTAAAGGTTCAATAACAGGAACTATTGCACTCGCACCAGATTGTCTTTGCTCTTCTTTTAGCTTTCGTTCTCTCTCTGCTTGTTTCCTTGCTTCATTTCTTGCTTCTAATTTTGAAAGTTCTTTGTCCTCTCCAAACATCACCATTTTTCTCTGACATCTCTGATCCAATAAAAATTCTTTATCTTCTTCAATTCTGATCATGGTTTCAGCATCCTTGTGGGCAATGTCAAAAAGTAGGCCAATGGTGTCTGTAAATGATTTCTCTCTTGATTTCTGAGAATCTGACAATCTGGATTTATTTTTTTTTATTAATTTAAATTCCTGGACTAAAGTTTTCAACTTTAAGACTACATTCGGATGAAATGCTGTCAGAATACAGGCTTTATTCCAAATAATAATCAGTTCATCAACAGTTGTTTTAAGACTTTCAGGCACTAACTTTTTGGTTGAATTAAGATGATAAAAAAATGTTTTTAAAACATCAGATGTTAAGGGAAGAACTTTATCTGGAAGATTTGGCTCTGGTTGTCCAATTAAAAAGATTTCGGTTTGAAGTCGTGTAGAGATAGCAACACGAGATGATGCTGCCATTTCTGCCAATGATAACTGAAAAATTATGAGAAAATCAAAACTCAATACCATATTATACAAACTTATCATTCAGTTGTTGGTTTATGCAGCTGCAGCAATATATAATAATAATTATTACTAAAGAAATTAAATAAATATTTTCAAATTAGAAATTATTATTATCTGCACTTAATAACAAACAATACACTACCAGACTACCATGCTAGTTTTCTGTAATAGGTTACTAAGGTTAGGTACTATCAAAATATTAATACATTTGTTGTCAAACTGAAATTCCAAATAAAAATAATATTTATACTTGTAAACCTTTTTATTCTGTTTGAACAAATTCTAAATTGAGTTAAATAATAGTATTAAAATTATGAATACAAATTTTAACTAAATGATATAAACACAGTTGTTTTAAACACTAGCAGACATTTTTTAGTCTGGTGCCCTGATGACAGTTAATTTGCTGCACTTTAATAAATCTATATAGCACGCAATCAGACAATATTTCAGTGGAAAAAATCTAACTAACCAGGTTCTAGAAATTTTTGGAACTTTGGAACTTTTTCCACGTTTTTGACGTTTTTCGTAAAACTTTATGGTCATTGAGCACCCCCTAAACATTATCTGATTGGAAAGATTTTTTACACAGTCAATTACTATGTCAAATGGCACAAAATAAACAACTATGCATTCAAATCAGAGAAAAAATTTTTTTTCCTGTGTTCACATGAACAGTCTAATATATATATATATATATATATATATATATATATATATATATATATATATATATATATATATATATATATATATATATATATATATATATATATATATATATATATATATATATATATATATATACACTAAAGTTTTTGAGAACTTTAGCTGATAACCAAACTTGCAATATGTGAGGGCTTCACTAAATACATTGATAGAAGGTTTGGGTTTAAGCAGGCACTGCATAGCTTTAGATTTATCTATCAAGTTATACAATCAAGTTATAAACTTATCTATCAATCTATCTATCTAGATCTTATTTTTATAGCTCTAGTACTTCTTAGAACTATATAAACTTGGAAATGTTAGAGCTAGATAGTGCTAGAGCTATTTAGATATTTGGTTAGCAAAAAGAAAGAATAAATCCACAAATCATCAACATGGAAAAATAATAAAATAACACATTACATAAAAATTGCCAACCTTTTCACAAAATTGCTGATTTAAAAAATATACAACAAAATAGTAGTAAAACTTAGATTAATAAAAACCAAACTCTCAGCCAATCATACAACTGGCTTTCTTTAAATAACTTTCAAAAGTTATGAATACACTTTAAAATTTTATTTGTTCAATAAAGGGTTGAGACCTTACATAAAAAATAACTCAAAAATTCTAGATGCTTTGTGTAAATTGCAAAATAAACACAATTTAGATAACCATTACAAAATATTGTTGCAGGATGTTTGATCTTGGTTTTATTTACAACATGAAAATATGAAAATAAAACCAAATAAACTCAAACATCCTGCAACAATAAATCAAAATTTAATTCTGAAAGTGCAGTTAAAAATAGACCATAGTTTGTAATAAATGTTTGTTAAAATGGTTTATAAAAAAATGTTAAAACACAGTATATAATAACTTTGTCAGTTAAAAATGACTTAAAACAAATAAACCTAAAGAATTAAATAATTAAATAAATAAAACAAATAAACCTAAGGGTAAAAAAGAAATTTAAGAGTAAACCTAAGGGTAATAACTTGAAAATAATTTTTTAAACAAAAACTGTTGTTAGTTTTAAAAAACAACTGTCAAACTTAATTTTTATTAAAAACAAAATCAAAGTTAAGAAAAAAAATAACGCTATTTTTTTTTACAACCCTAAAAAAAATACATTTACAACCCTACCAAGTGACAATAAATCCTAATGATTGTATGTAATTAGAGATGAAAAAAAGAATTAAAAAAAAAAGAAATATAAAACCTCATTATATACATTCAACATAAATAGTAATAAAACAGTATAGTAAAACAGATTCCACCCAAAGCAATCACAATAAGTTGAAAAAAAAGCAAAAAAAACCCCACGACTCTTTAACTGATGTAATATTATGAGAATTAAAAGTGGTTTCTAAATGTCTCTGCCATTATATGTTTTCATGCATATCTTTATATTCTTTTTTTTTTCACAAGTAAATATATGTAATATTACAGTAAATATCAGTCAATATATGCCTTAATGTTAAAAATAAATTTATCAAGGCAGAAAAGCAAGTTATTTCAATGCACAAACTATTTGTCAAATCATTAATCAAATCTAATATCATTAATCATCGATCAAATTTTTATACATTAATCAAATCTTATCTATATTGTTCAGTGAAGGTGTAAGGTGTGTGGTGTGTAAAAATTAAAAAGTATTAAAAAATTCAATAATGATTAAGCAACTCCATGCTTCGTCAATAATCAGACAAAGGTTTAATATTGTAAAACGTGTACTGAATTAAATGAAAATCTATAGATAATTAAATGATAATTGTTAATTTGTGTCACACCAGGAAAACATTACACAATTATTTTATTATAAGATAATCTTTTCTTATTTTATATATGTTTTTTCTTCCATTCAAAATCATGGAATTTTGATAAACTATATTAAAACAAAATGGCAATCAATTTACTTATTTTAAGATTTTTATAATTGATTGTCTAAACAGACAATATAATCATCAGACATAATGGAATAAAAATAATTCTTTAGTTTAATAAGTCTTGACATCTATCCATATTACATAAATAACTTTTCCTTAGGTAATAAATTTATTTAGCACTTTAAACCAAGCTTATTTTGATTATTTTGATACATAATTATTTTTAAAAAAGTAAATTAAACAAATAAAGAAACAAGCCTTAAATAAAAAAAAAATCACCTGAGATTGAATTCCTTGGTTCTAAGAAAATTTAGTATTGGTACAAATGCATCTGGATCTCGATCAATAAAATACTATTGAAAAAAAAAATGGTTTTTAAAAATATCATAAGATAATAAAAAAATATATAAAAACTAATAATACAAACAAATTTTTTATATAATACAAATAAATTACAGAAATTAAAAATATTGGGACTACAAAATGATTATCTTATTTTTAAGAAAAAATAAAAAAGATACTCTCATATTATCATTTTCTTTTAAAAAAATATTATGGCAAGCAAATTTTTATTGGGCATCCAAATATTAATCAACTTTACAAAGCAGGACTGAGTATTACTGTATATATATATATATATATATATATATATATATATATATATATATATATATATATATATATATATATATATATATATATATATATATATATATATATATATATATATATATATATATATATATATATATATATATATATATATATATATATATATATATATATATATATATATATATATATATATATATATATATATATATATATATATATATATATATATATATATATATATATATATATATTATATATATATATATACTATAATGTATAATACTATAATGTATAACTTTAATAATGGGCACTGCTCTAAAGAGCTAGCGTCTCTTGTGCCATCTACTAAAATTCCTTCCTGTGTGACTTCTAGTTTCTTCTCTTCCTCTAGTTTTTCCCTCGAACATCAGTTCTTTTGAATTCGCTTCCTTTATCTTGCTTTCCTGATTAATACAATTTGATTAATACAATTTGCAATCTTTTAAATCGTCTGTCAATCGTTATCTTGCTCTACAATCTTCATCTTTTCTCTTCCAGTAACTTCCAACACTAATTAGTGGTTGCTTGCAGCCTTGTTGGAAACGAAGATGTTTAAATATATATATATATATATTTATATATATATTTACATAAAACACCCCCTGCCTTGGGGCTCTTGGTTGAGTAAAGGCTAGAGACCGTGTCTCGAAAAAAATACTCATCTTGGACAGATGTTAAATGCATCCAGCTGCTGTCTTGTAGAAGGCCTCCTAGGCAAAGACTTAAGGGGTAAACAGATTCTATTTGTTGACCAGCCTCACACCCCTGCTTCATCTATTCATCTGTTAGGCTGGCGCAGATGTATTTTTAATACATTGTTTCCAGTTTAGGATGTTGAACCCTGGATCTTCTTGACTCGATGCATGGGTTTTTCTTGTGTATCTGTTTTCATGACTAGGCAACTCATTCTATTATCTCCAAATGAGGGTACAGCTCTAAAATTCAGTTTGATGGTTCTGAGGCCGGCTGGTAGTCAGGTTTCCTGAACTCTGTGGTAGCTCTCAGAGAGCCTGATTCCATCAACAGCTGAAAAATATCAGAGTTCTAACAGTGCCATGTTGCGCATGGATGGTGTCCTTGTTTGTACTTTTGGTGTGCATTGCCAAGGCCACATTGGAGCCCGTTGTTACGGCTTAGGGTTTATTAGTGGAAATGAGGCAATTGCTTGGGCTATAAAACAGTGTACTGAGTACTATCTATGTTTTGAGTCAAGTTCTTTAACAAATTTAAAAATGAATTAAGTATCAAAAACTATAAAACACAAAAAACCAGTCATCACCAAGTTCGCTAAACATATCATTCACCAATATTCGTGGTCTTCAAAGTAACTTTTCTTCTGTTGAGTCTTATCTCTTGCAAAGTTCGCTAGACCTACTTGCTCTTTGTGAGACTAATTTGAGTTCAGCTGTTTCATCTTGTGATCTTAGTGTTGATGGTTATCTTCCTTTAATTCGTAAAGACTCCAATAGCCACATGCTTAGCCTAGGCATTTACATTCGTAAGAATTCACCCATTTGTCAGGAAACTAGGTTTAAATCCACATACTACTCTTTTATGTCCTTTCGTTTAGCACCAATTCACTCCATCACCTTTCTCTTTGTTCTATATCGCTCTCCTTCATCTCAAGACTGCACTCTTCTTGATGTTATTTCTGATTATATTGACCAAGCCCTCATTCTTTATCCATCAACCAATATTGTTGTTGTCGGTGACTTTAATGTTCATCACACTGAATGGCTTGGCTCTAGTGTCAGTGACTCTGCAGGCATTAAGGCCCACAACTTTTGCCTTTCTCAATCCCTAACTCAAATGGTCAACTTTCCAACTCGCTTTTCAGATAACCCGAATCATTTACGTTCTCTACTCGACTTATGTCTTGTTTTTAATCCTAGTCAGTGCTCAGTTTCTCCACATTCACCCTTAGGTGCTTCTAATCATGGTTTGGTCTCTCTAAAACTATTATCTCATTCTTCTTTACCATCAGAATCCCCCTATCATTGTACACCTTACAACTACCTTAAAGCTGACTGGGACTCTTTTCGTGATTTTCTTCATGACGGCCCCTGGGTAGAAATCTTTCGTCTTCCTGTTGACAAATGTGCTTCTTACATAACTTTGTGGATTCAGGCTGGCATTGAATTCTTTATTCCCTCTCGACGATTCCAGGTTAAGCCTCACTCTTCTCCATGGTTTTCCTCACATTGTGCTGCTGCAATTGCCAATCTAAATTATTACTTCCAAATCTATCAGCAAAACAATTCTCCAGAAAACAGACATCTATTTACTACTGCTAGGAACCATTGTAAAAAGGTTTTGTCTAATGCCAAAGCCCACTATTCTCAGATCATGAAATCTCATATTTCATCACAAAAATTAGGCTCTCATGACTTCTGGAGAATTTTTAATAGTATCAATAATAAGGGTCTGTAATTCCACCTCTTTTGTACAGTTCAAACTTAGTCACCTCACCTAAAGACAAAGCTGAATTGTTTGCCAAGAACTTTTCATCAATATCATCTCTTGATTCCACTAGTTGCGTTCTACCGGATATAGCCATCAAACAGGTTGATCCACTGCTCGACATCCGTATCACTCCAGCTTCTGTATCCGTATCCAGCTTCTGTATAAAGTGATTTCCTGCTTAGACTCTTCTACAGCTTGCGGCTCGGACAACATACCTGTTATAGTCTTGCAGAAGTGTTTTCCGGAGCTGTCGCCTATCCTTTCAAAACTATTTAACAAGTACTTATCAGAATCTTGTTTTCTAGTCTGCTGGAAAGCAGCATCAGTTATCCTTATTTTCAAAAATTCTGGAGAGCGATCCGATTCGTCTAACTACCTTCCCATTAGTCTTCTTCCTATCATAAGCAAGGTTTTTAAACCTTTAATTAACAAACACTTAATCTCTTATCTCGAATCTCATAACCTACTTTCTGATCATCAATATGGATTTCGATCTTCTTGTTCTACGGCTGATTTGCTAACAGTAATAACCGATAGATTTTATCATGCATTAGATAAAGGTGGAGAGGTTAAGGCCATTGCTCTTGACATTTCTAAAGCGTTTGATAAAGTTTGGCATGCTGGTCTTCTCCATAAGCTTTCTTCTTACAATGTATTTGAAAACAACTTTAAGATTATTGAATCCTTCCTTTCTAATCGTAGTATAAAAGTTGTCCTTGATGGACAGCACTCTTCTTCTTATTCTGTAAACTCAGGGGTTCCTCAAGGTTCAATCCTTCGCCCTATACTCTTTTTAATTTACATTAACGATCTTCCAGATATTCTCACATCTAAGGTGGCATTGTTCGCTGATGATACTACCATTTATTCTTGTCAGGATAAGAAGCCAACTCCTTCTGATTGCTTGCAGGGGGCATCTGAGCTTGAAAAGGATCTCACTTCTGCTACAGCATGGGGCTCACAGTGGCTGGTGAACTTTAATTCAGATAAAATTCAATTTTTTTCAGGCAATCGTTATCTCAATAATTTAGACCTTCCTATATTTATGAATGGTAATGTACTATGAGTCTTCTACCCTTCATCTTCTAGAATTAACTCTTACTTCTGATCTTTCTTGGAAACCTTATATCAAATCCGTTGCAAAATTAGCATTTGCTAAAGTTGCTTCTCTTTATCGAGCTCAACACTTTCTTACTCTGGATTCTATTCTCTATCTCTATAAATCTCAAATCCGGCCTTGTATGGAATACTGTTGCTCTATCTGGTGCGAATCTTCTAATGATGCCCTTTCTCTTTTAGACAAGGTGCAAAAACGCATAGTAAATATAGTTGGACCTGCTCTTGCAGCCAACCTTCAAACTCTGTCACATCGTTGTAACGTTGCTTATTTTACTCTTTTCTACAAATACTATAATGGGCACTGCTCTAGAGCTAGTTTTTATTTTAGTAGATGGCACAAGAGCTAGCGTCTCTTGTGCCATCTACTAAAATTCATTCTCGTGCTCCAAAAACTCTTATTTTTCTAGTTTTTTTCCTCGAACATCAGTTCTTTGGAATTCGCTTCCTTCATCCTGCTTTTCTGATTCATATAATTTGCAATCTTTTAAGTCGTCTGTCAATCGTTATCTTGCTCTACAATTTTCATCTTTTCTCTTCCAGTAACTTCCAACACTAATTAGTGGTTGCTTGCAGCTTTGTTGGAAGCGAAGATGTTAAAAAAAAAAGAAAAAAATAATTTTATATATATATATATATATATATATATATATATATATATATATATATATATATATATATATATATATATATATACACACAGTAATACTCAGTCCTGCTTTGTAAAGTTTATAAATGTTTGGATGCCCAATAAAAATTTGCTTGCCATAATATCATTTTCAAAAGAAAATGATAATATGAAAGTATCTTTTATATATATATATATATATATATATATATATATATATATATATATATATATATATATATATATATATATATATATATATATATATATATATATATATATATATATATATATATATATATATATATATATATTGCCATAGAATACAATTATAATTGCAATATTATTAATACTGCTATAGTTTAGAAATCATAACTAATCATGGTATCATTATGACTTTACATAATGCAGCAGCCTGTGGAATTTATTAGGTTGTTTTAAATTTGTGTAGAATGACGTAGAATACTTGAATATTGAATATTGAACATAGAA